ACATCGTAGTTTTCCTGACTTTCATTGTTTCACAACATGCACAATTTACTGATCTATGCTGAAAGTTAAAACGGCTGTAAATCGTAAACAAACCTGCAGTGCATGCCAACCCGGGAGTTCGAACAGTTGTCAAGGCAAGAATCTTCTTAAATCTAGATGATGTTTCAAAAAAATTACCACTGGTTGCAAACTTCGTCAAAATAACGCTGCAGACCCGCTAAACTTGATTTGAAATGATTGGCTATTCAACCGACTACACTGTGCCATATTTGGGTTACTGTTCAAAGTAGATCGTTCGTTTTACATTTGAGAAGAGTTTACATATTACTTGAATGAAGAGGATAACAGAATACTGAGCTGAAAATTTTGTGTAGAGTATGTTTTTAGTAGTTTACAATAAAGGCTGTAAATGTGCGGGAGATTTTATTAAATATGAAACTTGTAAACAAAACCTTTTTCTTATTCAGGGCAATAAATGGGAACCAAGCGGGACCATTTTAAAAAGCAAGAAAATTCCGCAAGAAAACAACACCAGAAAGGAATTTGGGATGTTATCAGTTGTATACAGTATGTGCGACGGTGACTGCAAGGTAATAAATGTGTCTTGTTTGTTGTTAATAATTCGTTTCATTTTATTATGGAAATTTATCCGCCAAACATTGGCAGAAATAAATTTAATCTGATGCAAAAATACACCGTTCGCTCTTTAATTTTTTTTTAGATTTTCATTGTATATCTTTTGTAGATACAAAGAATGCCATTATGGGGAGCTAACCCATGCTGCTGAGGGTGGAAAGGTCTCGCTTTTAAATAGTTGTGATCTGAGACATCAGTCACATACATGTGTATTTAGGTAATTTCCTTTGATTTTTTTGAATAAATTTTTCAGCCAATATAAATCTATAATTCTAGAGATAAACATATTTTAAACATTGACTACTTGGTTTTATCTAAAGGAAAGTATATTGTTTTCTCACTTTTTTTAAAAAGGCTGGGTATGGTGAAGAGATAAATCATATCTTTATTTAAAATTTTATTGTGTATGCATTTGTACAGGGAGTCTATATACACTTGAGCTGAGCTGCAGATAGGAAATATGGAAGAATTTCAGATGTTGTGATGAAGATATTTAAGAGTGATCATCATCATCTAAATGTGCAGGTCAGAACTCACAGGTGAAGATCAGACTTCAATGTGTAATCAAGAACTGCTTATATTTTGCTTAACTTAGTGAAAGCTTGCCACAAACATTTTAAGTAACCTAGCAAGTTTCAAGGCTATTACACAATGTATCATATGTTTGACATTGAGCCTTATTGTCTGCATTTCTATTATGTTTAGTTATAAATGTTTTAAGTTACCGAATTATGTCTTTCAAAGCCTGTGCTTTAATTTCAATAGAAGTAATGTAAACCTTTTTTTCTCTATAATTTTGAAAATGATGTTTATTATTAGGACAGTTTTTGTAAACCACCTGAAAGATCTGAGTACCCTGATGACTGTTGAACTGATTGGTGACTGAGAAAAGATGTCAGAGAGGAGAATCCAAAAGGGATGTCTTGATCAAGAATATATACTGTTATGAATGATATGGTCAAGAATATGTAAACTAAGAAATATCCTTTTATAGATTTATAGATGAACATTCAAGCATTCATAATTATAAAGCTAGTTATTCATCCAGAGAGTTTTTGCATAAATTTAATTTTCAGTACAATCATTTAAACTGGATATGTAATTTTCGGTACAATTATGTGAAATGAATATGTAACTTATTATGATTGTCAATTTCTTAAGAGGAAATAACTGCAGTACATATATATGATCATTCTTTCAGAACAAAGCACACTGAACTTTTTTCTCTGTGTGCATCATACACTTGTTAACATTTTACACCACCACAGTGACACATTTTAAGCACACTGAACTTTTTTCTCTGTGTGCATCATACATAAGTAAACATTTTACACCATCATAGTGTCATATTTTCCAAAGCGTGTTAACTCGAGCACATACATGAAAATGTGTGAAGCTGAACACATATGCAATCACACAAGCATCTACCACAACCTATAACATATTTTTAAGGCGTGTGAAGTGGAGCACATACATGAAAATGTGTTAAGCTTGATACATATGCAATCACACAAGCATATAACACAACCTATTACATATTTTCCAGGGCGTGTGAAGTCGAGCACATACATGAAAATGTGTGAAGCTGAACACATATGCAAACACACAAGCATCTACCACACACATAAGAACATTTAATCCAAAGAGGTCAAGCTCAGACAGGCTCACTGGGTGAAGCTGAACACATACATATTCTCATACATTTTGCAAACTTTATCTTTAAATATTCTCACAGATGATTTAGTATTTTTCTTTTTTGTGAATATGTAAACTGCAACATTTTTCATTGTAAATTGAAGATGTCAAGATGTTACTAGCCTGTATATAAATGCATATCAAATAGCCTTTCATGTACTTTTTTCCCACTTTTTTTAATTTCATGTATTAAAACTGCAAAGTTTATTTTATATATGTACATGCACCAAAAATAATAGTGTTTTCCAACATTTCGTAATATAGCGAGAAAACATTGTATGATAGAAACATATTTTAGAGATTTTGACTGTATATGGTAGGCGTGGCCAAAGGAAGGCCAATGAGAAGACAGTATTCAGTAAGGTGTTCTTCACTACACAAACGTTTTATGCTTTATATATAATATATATCATGTTTGTATTAATATACCGGTAATGGAAGTAACACTATTGTTGAAATGTATTTTAATTTTGATTTTTTATACATGCAAATATCATTAGGATGTTCATGCAATTTTAAATAATACACCGAATGCACGTCCGGCATTCTCCCTTGAGACATTATTTACATAGCGACGGACACAGGTTTTTCATAGTTAATCGTCTATGGCTTTTGCCTGAGCGGTTTTTAATGTCTGTGATAGTGGTATAATTTGTTACACAAAAAATAATTTACAAATACATGTACATTGCAGTGGTTTATTTTTCACATACAATGTAATGTATGTTCAATAATTATGTATTGTTATCAAAATGAAACCAGCTGCTCCCACTAAGCTAGCATAATACAGCATAGGTGTTGTATTATTTGAGGTGTATTCTGTTAAATAATGAGTGGAGATTATCAATAACATTGTATTATATTTGAAAGTGAATTGGGACCTTTTCAGTTTTCATATAAAGCAGAAATGTGATTTTTTTATACATACCACCGGTATTTTTTTTCTATTTTGTATTACATGTATCTGAATGTTTACACAGAAACAAATGTAAAAGATTAGCTCAATGTTTATATTCAAGGTTATTGATTGTGCTGTATAATTTCTGACTCGTATAATAATAATAATAATAATAAAACTTTATTTAAAGAAGGTAACCTGGTTAGTGCATGCACTATTCTTCCCCAGGGCCCTCTATATATATACATATATCAAATACAAAATATATACACTTTGTCAAGATACAATTCATAATTATATACAATTAAGTACATGTAATAGGTTTGATGAATTACAATCACTGAATTATGAATAGAGTGTTCAAATACAGACACATTTTAACAATAACAGTACAATATACAATATTGAACTCTTATTATGCTCAAATGATTGTACGACAGCTGATAATGTAATTTTCCACATTACGCTTGAGTGTTCGTAGAGATTGAGAGAATCTAATGTGTTGGGGAAGTTTATTCCATAGATGTACACCTGAATATTGAAAAGAGGTCTTGAATAAGTTTGTACGAAATTTTGGTAATCTAAGATCATAATTAGTTTCAGATCGCAGGTTATAAGAAGTTGAAGACTGAAATTCAAATAAATTACGAAGATATTCGGGAGTCATTCCACTGAAAATTTTGTATAATAATATGTATTTGTATAGATCAACTAGTTCATAAACTGTTAACCACCCAAGTTTCTCAAACAGTGGTTTAGAAGAAGAATCAGGACTTGCGTCAAGGATAATCCTTGCTGCCCTTTTCTGTAATTTAAATAGTCTGTCCATGTCCTGCTTGGGGGCATTACCCCAAACAGTCAAACAATATTTAATAGATGGTAAAATATAAGCGTTGTAATAAAGTTTCCTGGTGTGAAGAGGGAGAAATTTCTTAATCCTACGAAGCGTAAATAACTTATAATTACCCGTTTTACAAACTTAGTCAATATGATTTGCAAACTGTAACTTATCATCAATATGTACACCAAGAATTTTTCCAGTTTCAACAATTTCAATTGTTTTGTCTGAGGCATAAAGTTGCAAATTTGGATTATATAATTTTGATTTTCTTTGCTGTGTTCCCATTAACATACATTTTGTTTTATCTACATTTAAAACCATTTGATTTTGAGCACACCATTTTTCAATCTCACAAAGATCTGCATTTAGCGTATTTTCCAAACATCGTGCATTATGATTATTTGAATACAGAGTAACATCATCAGCAAACATATCAATATTTGAATTGTTTACATGTAATGGAAGGTCATTTATCTACAATAAAAATAAAAGAGGGCCCAGAATTGACCCTTGTGGCACTCCTGCTGTGACGGGTTGAATATTGGAGACACATGTTCCAAATTTAACACACTGGGTCCTGTCGTAAAGATATGACTTAAACCATTTTATAGCTGTTTGGTCAAATTTGTAATGATTTAATTTCTCTAGAAGAATATCATGATTCACCAAATCAAAAGCTTTACTAAAATCTATAAATGTAATGCCGATTAGTTCACCACGATCCATTGCATTAAGCCAACTTTCTGTTAGTTTTGTAAGTGAAGTTTGACAAGAATGGAGTTCCCTAAATCCCGACTGGGATTGTGTTAGTAGATCAAATTCATTAGTGAAGTTTTGTATTAGCTTAGCTACATGTTTTTGTATCAGTTTAGATATAGTTGGTAAAATAGCAATAGGACGATAATTATTCGGGTCAGCTTTGTCACCTTTCTTAAAAATAGGTGTTACTTTGGCTTGTTTTAAATTTGTCGGGAAAATACCACTTACTATGATAGCATTAATAAGATGAGTTATAGGTTTACATATATATTTGGATGCGACTTTTAGAAGACGCGGCCCAATAAAGTCAATGCCAGCTGATTTATTGATATTTAGAGAATTTAGCATGTTAAAAACTTCACTTTCATCAATTTGATGAATACTAAAGATGGTTTCCTCATCAAGCTTAGACCTAGCAAAATTACATAATATATTAGGATCATAATCATGTTTAGGCATTTTCATCAGAAGCTTATTAGAGATATCCGTAAAGTGGTTATTAAAAGTATTTGCAATATCCTGTAAATTGTCAACAATTTCCCCATTAGAAAACACATGAGATGGTGTTATGTTCTTTGAATTACATGTTAATTGATTAAGATAGTTCCACATTTCTTTGGGATTTGAACTTTGTTCAATAGCTGTTTTATAGTAAGACGATTTTGATTTGTCTATAAGAAGACTAACTTTGTTTCGATAAATTCTATAGTTCTCCATATCTCCTTCTTTATGGTAAGAGTCCCTTAAATGTCTAGCATTGTTTATTTCTTGTGTCATCCATTTAGGGCGGATTTCGCTCTTTACGCGTTTTGTTTTAACCTTTGCATGCTGGTCAAGTATGCTCTTAAATAATTCATAGAATTCAGTTAGTATTTCATTAGGGTCATGTATCTGGAGGAGATTGTTAAAGTCTACATCTTTTAAGTCGTGGAGGAATTTATTTTCATCAAACTTTTTGAAGTCTCTATACCCTATTTCTATGTGTTTTCCTTTTTGTTGCATGCATTTTGTTTTTCTAGTGGCACATATTGGGTAATGGTCAGAGATGGCTATAAAAGGTACATTTACTTCACACATGTTATCTGGTTTATTGGTGTAAAAGTGATCTATTAGTGTACTTGAAGTATTAGTTACTCTGGTTGCTGATGTAATTAACTGTGAAAAATCAAATTCTTCTAAAGCATATGTCCAACTTTGTGGGGGTTCTTTGAATAAGTCTACATTAAAGTCACCTGTTAAGATAATTTCTGCATCGTCACAGCAGGAGGCACGGTTTATCTCTCTAGCCAGGTCTTCCGCCCAGCAGGAGAGAGCAGATGGTGGACGATACGCTGAACAATAATAAATTAGTTTAGAATTCTTTGAATTTAATTCTAGCCAGATTGTTTCAATATCACCAATTTCAAAATCAGTTCTACGCTTGTATCTTATATTATCGGAGATATTTACTACAATTCCACCACCTTTCCTCAGAGTGCGATCCTTCCTTTCCATTTCAAAGCCATCAATATTCAACTCAGAATCACTAAATTTATTCAAAAAGGTTTCACAAAGTCCTAGGATATTAAGATCTTGTTTGTTTTGAAGCAGAATTTTAATTTCTTCAATTTTTGGCATTAGGTGGCAAATGTTAAGGTTTCCAAATTTTAATCCCTTTTTCATCAAACCAAATTTACTTTTACTTGTTACACTGTCATTTTTTGTTATAAATACAGTAGATTCGTCTGATTGTTGTGAAACCCTCTTGGCAACAAAATTAGGCCTATTAATATTTTTCTTGTCTGAATGAATTTATGCGAATTAGATAAAGTGTTTGACTTAATTCTAGAATTTTGAACAAATGTACATGAATACTCATTATCACGACATGAGCTTAAATTATTAAAAGAGAATATACATTATTGTTATTAATTATCCCTCGGGAATTGGTGACGGCTATACTTCCATTGCCCGTTTCCTAGTGGCTATGCGGGCAGAGCTTGGTTTTGTGACCTAGCTCTCCACAGTTCCAACAGTCCAGCTTTCTCCCATGCCTGCAGTATCGCGATATGTGGCCACTTTCCCCACAGAAATAACAGAAGGTTGAACGGAAGGAATCGTTGCAAACTGATGTTGTAATTTTTCTGAAGTTTCCTCGCCCGTTTCCGCTTTTCAGTATATTCACATAACCTTGGTAGATTTTGAGCAGTGCTGCGGTACCTCTGTCTGACAGGTGGATTCCGTCTTTCCAGTAGTATCCCTGTTTTAAGATTTCCATCTCCAAAGATTTTTGAAGTAGGGATCACAGTGACACCATACATTTCACACACATCATTAATTACTGCGTTTTAACATCACTGACATTTGTATCACGCCTTTGACAACACTTCTGAAATATACACACGTACACTGGGATTCGAATCTGGCAAACTATGCGATTATTTCTGCAAAATCGTGTTTCATCCCCTCTGCATCCCGCCGTCTTGATGCATCATTTCCTCCAGCTAAAACAATAATACTTTGATATGATGATACATCCATTTTTGAAAGTTTTGTCCTTATATTGAGGAATGGTATCCCCTATTTGTGCTGACCTGTACTGTTGAATGTAATCCTCTGGTGCAAATCCTTGGTAAAATCCAGCTTCAATAATGAGGACAATTGATCCTCTGGTTTCTTTCCGGGTCGCTTTTTTTCCCTCGTGAACCGCTGTATTTGACAAAACAGGAGCAGTCTTGATGTCGGAGCCTCCTGGAGTCTGTCATTGTACCACGACTGGTTGAGTGGGGTTTGAATTTCTCGGCACCGACTATGCCTGGATACACCAGGCCCAAATTCGCATTTCGTCTGACTTTCGTTCCTCTTTGTCCTGTTTGGAACTGTTTGGGTTCCTTTTGTAATAAGAGGTGTGACCGTCCTTGAAGTGTTTAATTGTTTTTTAAGATCACTGACTTCTTTCGACAGAAGTTGGACCGTACTGCAGTTCTTAGTCATTTTTGCACTGTCAAGGCACTGATGGCAATTCAATTGGGGGCTTCATCAATTGTGGGGCCTTACTTTTCAGGATAGATGTGCCACGGGGATGTTTCCTCTATGGTCTTACATCTTGTCTCCAAATTTTCATCACAGGTCTTCAAATCCTTGTAGAAATCTCTGGCACCACGAGAAATATGAATCTCCTTGGATGTGAAGGGTATTTGTTTTCTCATAAATTGTAGCTGTGACAGAATCATCTTGAGATTTATATATAGACCCATGTCTTCTTTTCTCGCGGTTTTTAAACAGCACAAGCTCGCTCTGTAGTAAATCCAAGATGATAGGGTACTTGTCCCCATTAAATGTTATTGTTACACTCCTCTGGTTTTCCTTAACTTGAAAGGAAATCTGGCGCATCTGAATCAAGTTTCACAGATTTATTTTGAAAGCTCATTATTTGCACTAAATGATCTTGAAAATCCAGTAAATGAGTCCAAAAGTGATTTGAAAAGGTTAGAACTTTCACTCAAAACTCATTATTATTCCATTGTATACGTAATAACTAAGTATAGATAAGAAATGCAGGAGCTGTAAAAAAACACG